GAGCTGTGATGAGATACCACAGACACCTGGACAGAAGGTGCCCAGCCCGACATCAGCCACGGTCCCATCACTTGCTCCATGGGAGCCAGAACAGGCCCGGGGGGGCTCCTGGGCTTGGCAGGGCAGGCCAGGACGACCTCACTGATCCACACCAGCTGGGGGGATGGGGATGCCTTTGACTCCACTAAAAGCCACAATTAGAGCCCAATTTAAAGAAATGCTGGGTTAGTCCTTCCCCGGACAGATGTGATTATAGGCTCAGAGCTAAAGCGTTACTAACAGGATGACACAGAGGCCTGGCCAGGGCACAGTGGGGTGTCCAGCCCAGCCCCCTTACTGCACGCTAGGGAAACTGAGGCTTGAGCCAGAGGGGCCACGTTCCAGGTCACAGTGCAGGCAAGGAGGGCTGGGCCTAATTTCCTTCTCCAAGGGCATCATTGCTGCATCCAGAGCCAGAAGCACCTAGAAGGAACCAAGCTGCCCTGAAAAGGAGGCAGTGCAGCCCCAAGAGGAAGCAGCTGTCCCGGAGAGGTTCAGGGAACACTGGCCATGGAGCCAGCAGCTGCCCCTGCCTGCCACTCAGGTGCCTGGAGCTGACATAACAACCAGCAGTGGTGACAGCCCCCTCTGGGGAACATTGTCTCACTAGTCCCCACAGAACCCTGGGAGGGAGACACCAGTGTCAGCACCGCTTTACTAATGGGGGGACCAAGGCTCTGAACCATGTGTGGGCTGTCCAAGGTCACAGGGACCAGTGGAGCTGGACGAGCTGGTGAGACCCTTTAGCAGGAGGCCCAGGCAGTGAGTCCAGGGAGCATTTATCTCAGTAGTGTGACTGAATGAAGTCACCCAGTGAACGAATGAATGAATGAATGAATGAATGAATGAATGAAAAGGCTGTTTAAGGCACTCTGGCCTCAGGGAGGTACGAGGACCAGAAGTGTGAGATTAATGGACCACAGTATAAAAGTCCAAATCCTACCTCCCAGAAACAAGGACCCCCAATTCCTGGGCTTCAGGAATCCCCTGGCTCCTCCAGACAGCCCCCAAGGAGCACTGAGCAGGGCCTCCTCAGCCTGGCCCTCCACCTTAGCCCCAACTATCCTCCCAAAAGCTGGAGGCCATCTGACCTAGTCCTGCCCCTCACCTATACCCTTGCCCAGAGCTGAACTCCAACATGAGAATGGGGAGGTAGGGAAGGAGGGGCCCCCTTTCTTCACCCCCTCCACCCCTCTCCATCTTCCCCCACAGCACACATTGGTGAGCAGGAGGATAAGGACAGTGTACCCTCCAGTTGGCTCCCAGGAGCTTAGGAGAGATAGGGTGCTGGAGCCCCCTGCTGGACATGTGCCCCCAGCCCCCTGGGATGGGTTGGAAGGATTCTTATTCATTCAACAAACACATATGGAGCCCCTAACATGTGCAGTACTTTGGCTCCGCAGAGCATGCACAGTCCCTCCCTTTGGCTGTGTGGCTCCCCTGAGAAGGTAACTATGCTTGGTGTTATGTGCCCCCCACCAGGGTCCCAAGGACTGTCCCCACCCCTGGAAGACCGAGGGCTCCCTGTGGGCAGGAGCCAGGTTTCCTGGGGGCCCGGGTGCGCCTCCCCCATCAGACTGGTCTATAGACCTCTTGTCCCTGAGAAACCTCACCTTGTTCCTGCAGCCTCCCTGGACAGGGTGCCAGATAAAACACAGGATGCCCGGTTCAATTTGAATGTCAGGCAAACAAGGAATAACTTTTTACTATAAGTATGCCTCAAATATTGCATGAGGTATACTTAAACTAAAAATTATTCCTTGTTTGTCTGACATTCATATTTAACTGGGTACCGGGTGTTTCTATTTGCTAAGTCTGGCAACGCTGCACCTGGAGCTCATTCCTCTGCTGGCACCTGGCCTGGCCAGATGGCCTGGGTCGTGCCTGAACCTGGCCCCTACTCACCTAGGTATAGCTCCTGTCAGCTGCCCGCTCCCTGGCCTCTACCTGCAGCCTTCACTCCCAGATGGACCCCACACACCTGGCATGCATTGTCTGGCTCCATAGGGGATGGGCCCACACCGGGGGGCAGAGCCACTGAGACTCGGGGTCAGGGCATCAGAGTGGAACAGAGGCTCAGAGGTAAAGGGACACAGAGACTGAGATGAAGACAGGGAGACAAAAGCCAAGACAGGACAGAGAGCTTGAGGCACCCTGCCCACAACCTCTCATGGAGAGCAGGGCAGCAAGGGAGGGTCCTGAAAGCCCCCCAGGGTTTGCCTGTGTGGACTGGGGCAGAAGGGACCACCCATAGGGTCCCAGGCTGGCAGCCCTGGGGCGGCAGCTCGGGGTCTCCAGCACTGTGGACCAAAGTGGGAGTCAATTCAGAGCCCCTCCCAGGGGCACACACCCGGACATTCATGGCTTCCCAGAAGGGCCCATGGGGCAGCCAGAGTGGCTTTTAAAATTAGCTTTGCTAACCAGATCTGGTTACTTCAGAAGGCTCTGTCCCAGCCTGTCCCCTCAGTGGGGCAGGCGCAGGGAGGAGGGAGGGACCTCCACATTCCAGGGCCAGTGGCTGAGCCACCCTGTGGCCTAAGCAGCGGAGAAGGTCCAGGTCCCAGCCTCTGGCCCTGGGACAGCCTGGGCCTTCGGCCTCCTCATTGGCAAAGTTGTCGTGGTGTTGGACGAGAACATCCAGGGACACCCCGGCTGCAGGGGTGGGGAAGACCCTCACTGAGGCTTGGGCTCTGTGCCAGGCACTGTTCAAGCCACCTCAGAGGCCTAACAACCTGTTCCTGGCCCCAGGAGGGGCCCTGTCCTGTCTCACAGGTGCTGAAGGGATGGGGAGATCCCCACAGGGGCTGAGGGAATGGGGATGCTGGGTGCCCAGCACCCGTGGAAGAGACCTCTTCCCTGCTGTGTCCATCCTTCCTTCTGGAGCAACTTCTGGCTGCTCTCCACAACCAGGGTTATTTCTAACAGAGCCCAGCACTTCCCGGAGCCAATGCCCCCCGCCCCGCCCCCGCCGCCGCCGGCCCTAATTCCAGCCTTAGGTCAATGTCCCTGCTTGCTCTCCCCACCTCAGAACCCCGGGCAGGCAAAGAGCTGGCGTGGGTACAAGAGAAACAGCACTGGACACTTTGATCCCCAAGGCCAGATCCATCCTTGGGCTCCCCTGGACCCACTTTGGGGACAGGGGCAGGGACCTGGACTGGACCAGAGTCCCTCCCTTCAGCAGACAGGCCCGGCACGGCTGGGCAGGTCCTGCTCACCAGGCTTCCACCTGCCTCTGCCACAGCAGGGCCCGCTGATCAGTGTGGGCTCCGGGATGGAGCAGGGAGGGTGCATGAGAAGACTGTCACCCCCACCTGCACTGCCGAGGCCCAGGGGGCACCTGAAGCCTTCTGTCCGAATGTCTGTGCTGGGCTGGCTGGTTTTGGTGTCTCCACGCACTGTGCTGATCCCTCCTTCCCTGAAAGGTTGCTGATCTGATCCTTGCTAAGGGTCAATCTCTACCACCCCGCCCCACCTCCACCACAGCTGCACCATGACCTTCAATCTTCACACCAGGTAGCTTCGAGGGCCAGAGAGTTAGCACCTGCTGCACACATGGGAAATGAGGCCCAGAGCAGCAAGATCAGGGCAAGGAACTCAGAGCTGACTCCCAGGAGCTCCAAGCAGGGTGCTGTGGCTCCTGGCCCTTTTAGGGGTGAACAGGGCAAAAGTCTTGGGGAGCCAAGGATTCTGTAGAGCCAGGGCCTTCGGGGTGCTGAGGGCCAGACCTGGTGGGGAGTGGGTGGTCGAGGGACCCTGAGCCCAGGCAGCCAGGAGCCAAACCCAGCTGGGTGGGGTTGGGATAGAGTGAGTCATGGCCCCGGGTGGCCTGAGGCATCCAAGAGAGGGTCTCAGAAGGCCCTGTGAGGAAAGTGGCACTCCCAGAGCCGCCAGGGTGCCCCAGCCTCACCCTGGGTAGGGGTGGGAACACGGGAACACGGCTGACCCCACTGGGGCTAAGGGCAGTATCCCCCAACTCACCTCTAAAACCCACTCTCCCTGTGGTCCCACCCCACACCCACCTTCCATGACCCCTACCCAGCTCCACAGCCCAACAGGCCTGACCCATCCAGTCATTCCCGCCTCCCAACACCTCTGTCGCCTGGTCCCCCTCTGTCCCCAGCAACAGCTTCCTTCGTCCTCGGCTCCTCCATTGACCCCACATGTTGGTCTCCAGCAGTAACCACTTTTCTCTCTATGGTGCCCACTGCCCTTGGCATAAAGACCTGGCCCTCTGGCCTCATCTTCCTGCTGTTCCTGACACCTGGATACTCTGCCCTCTACGATTCCCAATTCCCACATGCAGCTCCCTCCCCCAAGGACACTCTTCCCCACACTGCCCCTCAGGCCTGCCCTGCACAGTGACAGCCGCTCCTTACCCTACAGTCTACCTACCTTGGGCTTCTGGGGCGGGGACTCTGCTCCACTCAACCCCCACTGCCCTTGCCATTCGGTTACCGATCCCTTGCTGCCACCTGGTGGCCACACAAGGGAAGTTCTTGGGATACACTGCCCAAGAGAAAGGAAAGGGAGGCATCATTAATCGACCACCTACTATGCACCAGAGGCCATGTGCTAGGAGTTTGTATGCACCAGTTTATGGGACCCGCATAAACCCCAAAAAGGGCCCTATTTCTTCTATTTTACAGAAGTGGAAACAGGATCAGAGAAGCTAAATTTCTCACCACCACCCAGCTAAGGAGATGGTACCAGGACTTCAAGGCCTGCCCGTCTCAGAAGCCATGCTCTCCAGGCTGTGCAGAAGGGGACAGAGAGGAAGGAAGGGGAGTGCCCAGGGAGGAAGCCATGGCCAGTAGTCACAAGCCCTGTGCCTTGACCTTGAAAGCATCCCTAAGCCCAGAGCAGCTGTGACGGGGGCAGACTTGTGTCTCCACTTGTGTCACTGGTCTGTCTGTTTACGGTCAGTCCAGGTAGCACACACACAAAGCCAGCCCAACTCCAGATACAATAGCGATAAATAGAATTTATTTTGTACAACTGTTACTGACATACACATGGCCACAGGGCTTCCAAAGTGGGGCTGGGGCCGGAAGGCTGGCCTTTGGCGTGGCACCTAAAAAGTGTGAGAGACACACACAAGGACATGGACTCACAGCAGCTGTGCCTGGCTGTCCCTCCATGGCGTGGGGGCCAGCAGAGACCCCTCAGCCTGGAGTGCCCAGGAGTAGGGGATGGCAGGGGTCAAGCTGGGCGCTGACTGAAGAGCTGGGTGGGTTCCCTTCCCCCGGAAAGGGTCACTGGTCTGTCATGTGTAGGCAGTGGAAGGGCATCGGCAAATCTGTGGTAGAGCTCGGGGGTCCAGGTGGGCACAGCCAACTCCCAGGCCATTAGCCCACCTGGGTTTTCGGGAACCTCAAGAAACAGGGTGGTGTGACGGGAAGTCCCAGGGCCAGGTGCGTAGAATCACGGCCTCCAGCAACCTCTGAAATAATCTTGTCCATGTGTGGCAAAGACAACCAAGGAAGGAGTGACTTGACAGCCCCACACAGAACCAGATCAGAAGTCAGGACTCCCAGGCCAGTGTCTCACCCAGCCCCACCCCCTACTCATCCTGGCACCTCCGAAGTCAGCTCCACACTGAGCTCTCAGCCTCCCTCCCCCACCTTGCTCCCCTGATCCAGAGGGGAGGTGGCGAAGGCCCAGGGTGGGGCAAGCCAGGCCTGCAGTCCTGCTTTGGCTGACTGCTCCCTGCCTGAGGCCAGAGCCCCAGCCTGGGCCGCTGGGAACATGCCAGCAGCTTCCCAGCCCCAGGTCTGGGTGGCTCCGCCCTGCGGAGGCAGCCCAGATGGATGGGCCAAGGGGAAAGGGGAAGCCGGGGAAGCTGGGCTGGGGTTGGCCTTGGGGTCAGAGGTCCTGGCTGCCTGGACGTGACACAGCCTCTTCACCTTGTGCTTCTGCAGCTTCACCTGCAGGGGAAGGTGGGTAGACACCATGAAGCACAGGCTGCAGCTGGGGTCCCCCGGGTCCAGGTGCCTCCATCCCCTACTGAGCAGTCACCAAGCTCCCTCCAGGCTGTGTCACACCCCCCAACAGCTCTTAGGCAGAGGTGAGGCAGTGTTCATCCACCCCATTGCACAGGTGAGGAGCCTGAGGTGAGGGGCAGGACTGGCCCAAGTCCCCACCACTGAGAGGCAGAAGGCTAGCTCTCACCCAGGGTCACCTCTCCCTGAACTGTCCCCACTGTGCACACCAGCACAGGGCCCCAGGCTGACCTGCTCAATTCCACTTCCCAGGTGACCGGCTAACAGCCCTGTGAGGACAGGCGGCGCCACGAGGCAGGTGGCAGGGCAGAAGAGACACAGGGAAGCACGAGTCACGGTGGTGCCCAGGCTGTCCTGGCCGAGGGAATCCCCGGGCCCCTGGGTCCCTTGATGCCCTCTCAACAGCCAGTCTCCCCAGTGGGGCATCTCCCAGACCCCAGGCGGCTACTCATACCAGCTGGGGAGTGTGTGGCTCAGACGCTTCCAGCTGGATCTTGATCTCGGGACACGCAGGGTCCCCCACCTTGCCGGCGTCTGGGTGGGGTGACCGGGAGAGGCCTGGGGAGGGGGGTAGGAGGGAGCCACCTCACTGGCCACCGAGAGGCACCAGGGAGACGGCATGGATGGGCAGTTGGAACAGGTGCTCCCCAGGCCCATCTGGTCCCTGCTTAGGGACCTGCACCCTAATGCACCTCCCCGGCAGCCCCTCTGAGACTTCCAGAAGCCACCAGCCCTCCAATCTACCCCAGAGCACTATCCCCCACTGTCCCCCATGGCGGCGGTGGCCACAGCCTGTGCCTGCCACTGGACATGAGACCTGGTCCCTGCACTCGGCCCCACCCCCTACCCAAGGACACCCCACCCTCTGCAGGGGGCCACCCCTTACCTGGGGAGCTGCCACCACTGGTGGTGCTGACACTGTCCTCCAGCCACGTGCTGTAGAGGAAGGAGTCCCGCTTTTGGGGCGTCCCTGACGACGACACGCTCTCCTGGGGAGGTGGGGAGGTTAGCCCTGTTCACTGCCCCTGAGGTCTGCCACACATCTGGGGATGCCCTCCCAGGCCAGGCCCTGCCACAGGGAGCCTGAAGTCTAGGAGGCCAGCCAGGCAGATTCCCATCCAGAAGCCCTGCATGCAGGGTCATGGTCTGCCCTGTTCCCTGCAGCACCTGCAGTGAGCTGGGCAAGAAGCAGGCGCCCACCGAAGGTTTGCTGAGTGAAAAATGACCAAGGCCACTGAGGGCAAAGTCCAGGGGTCTGTGAGAGTGTAAAGCAGGGTCATTAACTCTCCTGGACTAGACATCAAGGACAGCTTTCAGAAGGCAGAGGGAAACCTGGCAGAAGAACAGGGAGGTCAGCCAGGCAGAGGGGAGTGGGGTGGTGGGAAGAGCGTGCCAGGGGGTCTTCACAGGCCGAGACCGAGCTCTGCACAGCACTGCAGCGCCTTGGGGGGGGGGTGCTCAGAGCAGGGGTGTCAGTCTGCACCACTCCTTTGACCTGGGTCTCCTCCTCACATCTTAGCCACAGCCAGGCTTGTACTTCTGCCCAGAGTATTTCCAGGGACTCAAGAGCCCAGCTCTAGGGCACTGTGGTACACCCGGACCCTTGGGTGTCTCACCAGGCCTGTGTCCTCCCCGTCCACGCCCTCCGTCTCCTCCACCACACTGGCGAAACTGCTGGCACTGGACGAGGAGCGGGAAAAGTCCTTCAGCACCTCTGTTCTCTGGGCTGCTGTCTCCACTCTGCCACAGATGGCGCCCCATTAGCCAGTGTCCACCTGCAGTGGCCCCGACCAGGCCCTGCTCCCTCACTCCCTGCCCAGGAGGCCCAGCCTGTGGCCACCGGGCACCTTCACAGCCTCAGCATGGCTCCTCGGGCCTCTGCCCTCTGGACCCCACTGTCCTTCCCCGTACGTGGCTCTGACCAGCCCCTCCCCTGCTTAACACTCTCTCATGGCTCCTGCCGCCGCCAGATAAAGTCCAGCCACCCTAGTTTAGTGTTTACTACCCAGCACTGTGCTAAGCACTCACCTGAGTGATCTCAGGGCTGTCATTCTACAACCCATCTTACAGAGGAGAGGACATCAAGGCACGAGAGGGTGGGCACACAGCCCAGGGTCACTCGGCCATAGGTGGGAAAACAGACAGCCCCACGGCCTACTTCCTTAACCCCTCACAATTCCACTTTCTACTCACGACTGTGTCTCCTGCCTGGAGTCTCGCTCCTCGTCTCAGATCCCAAAAAGCAAATCTTTCAAAAATCCATCACTCTAGATCCTGTATACCCTGTCCCTGTCACCTACCGTTTCCTGCCTCTTGGTCCACCTGACGCTCCAGCCCATGTTGAGTCCTCTCTGTCCCCCAGAGCCCAGCCCAGAGAGGGGCTCAAGCAACCTGGGCCGAGGGAGGCCTCCGCTCCTCCTTGTCTCTGGGCTATGCCCGTGCCCTCTCTGCACAGCACATTCAGCCTCTGGTGGGAGGGAGCCCTGCTCTCCTCCTAATTCAAGTCTCCCACAGGGGCGAGTACAGTGGCGATGCCTGTAACCCCAGCTACTTGAGAGGAAGAGGCAGGAGCATCAAGAGTTTGAGGCAGCCTGGGCAACTTAGTGAGATGGTATCTCAAAGTAAAAATGGGCTGGAGTTGCAGCTGAGTGGTACCATGCATGAGCCCCTGGCTCAATTCCCAGCACTGTAAAACCAAATCTCCCAAAACCTCCTTGTCTCCCTTAGCATAAAATTCAAAGCTCCCATGCAGCTTCCAAGGTGCCAAGCCCCCCCACCATTCCCTTCTCTGACCTCATTCCTGCACCACCCAGCGCAGCTTCTGCCAGGCCCAATCCCTTGCTTTCTTGGCTCCACTGCATGTTCCCCTTCTTTGCATCCTCAGGGCTTTGTACTTGCTGGACTCCTTACCTGGAACCCTCTTCTCTCTGTCAGGCCAGTCCTGGCAGGGCTCTCAGTTCAAATGTTACCATCCCTGAAGACGCACCCATAATATGACTGCCCCTGGTCACACTTCAGCACAGCCCACTGCTCTATTTCCCTCTTATCCCTAAAATCTGGAAATGAGTATTGGCTATGGTACACCAACCTCACAACCTGTGGGAGGGGGGCCCTGCATGTGCACAGCTCACCACCACATGCCAGACTTGGCAGGAGAGTGTCAGAAGAGGACCTGAGAGGATGCCCAGCCTCCTCGATGCCCTCCTGAGGCAGTGCCAAGGTTCCTGGGCAGCTGGGCCCAGGGGACAGGAAGCATGAGCCCACCACTCCCAAACCCTGGCTCTTCGAGCCACAAGCCCAACCTGTTCTTGGCTGTGGGCATCTCTGGGGAGCTCTGAGTGGAAGAGTTCTCTGACTTGGGCTCCTGCGAGACGTGCCCACTGTCTGGAGTCTTCTGGCCAGCCGGAGGACTCTCCCTGCAGGGCACACGGGGGCAGCAAGGGGATTCAGCACAGGGGCCTGGCATCAGGGTAGAATGAGGCCCAGGCAATGAGGGAAGTCACAGACACCTCCTATCCTCAGGGGCCAGCCTGCTGCTGTCCCCAGGGCTCCCTAGCCAGGCTGGCCAATGAGTGTGCAGACAGTAAAGGAGCTACAGGGGCAGGACCCGGACACTTCTCTGGTCCTATGTGTGAGGGGGCATGATGGTTCCGTGAGACAGGTAAGGATGCTGGGGCTCAGATGGGAAGGGACCTGCTCTGGGACACCCAGCTAGGACATAGCAATGCCAAGACTAAAACTCAGGATTTATAGCATTCTGGAATCTGGTGGCAGTGAGGACAGTGCCAGCTCCTTTCTTGGGGTGTTCTTAATGCCTCTGATCCCTGTGTCACATGCATGGAACCAAACTGTCACAGAAGCCACATGCTGTTTTCTTTCTTTCCTTTTTTGGGGGGGTGGGGATCGAACTCAGGACCACACACTGTTTTCTTATCCCAGTGTTCCACATTGGGATAACAAAACTCAGAGGAGTACGACTTGCCCACAGTCACACAGTCCATGTCCAGGAGCTACTCTCTGCCACAGTAGCCAATGCATGCACTCACAGGCTCCGGCCTACCCCATGGCCTGCCCAAAGCCAGCACTTACTCCTACCCTAGTGGCCAAGGACACGGGATGGCCAGACAGGCCAAGGCTCAAATCCCAGCTCTGCCCCTTGTGGGCTGTGTGACCTGGGCAAAGCCCCTGTCACTTAGACCTACAGCTGTAAGGGTGAGCCGAGAGGGAGCCGTGTGACAGGAAGGGGACAGCCTGCTCTGCTGTGACACTGATGGGGCACAGAGAAGGGCTGGGGGAGCAGGCATCCCTCCCATACCTCACCCACCTCTTCTCCTGCACCTCCTGGATGTTCTCGATGCCGATGGCGCTGCTGCGGCGGGAGCCAAATGGGCCTGACTTCTTCCTTGTGGGACTCTTCCCAGGGACAATCAGGGACTGCGGGAGAAGCCCCAGTTTAGCACTCAGCTGCCCTGGGAGCCCGGTGCCCCCCACAGCTCCCACCCCGAAGCAGCAGTGACAAGCAAGAAAGGAGCAGAGGTGTGCATGTGGGCAGCAGGGAGAGGGCCCCACGGAGCCACCCTGGACCTCTGGACAGGAGAAGGGCAGGAGCCTGGGGGTGGGGTGGCCACTGCAGGATGGAAGGGGACGAGGCCAGGTCCTCAGAATGGCCACCACGTCCGCCCCCTGGGCCCCACAGGACTCGAAGCCTCAGGGCAGTGAGAGTGAGGTCCCACCCCCAGCCCCCGCCCACACCCCCTCACCAGCCCTGCCCTTCTCAGAACCTCCACACTGTCTGGGGAAGCAGCAGCTGAAAGGTTTCCCCATTTCCACACACACCATGGTGGATGCCCCCGGCAGGCAGCAGGCCCCAAGAAGGCATGGAGGGGCAGGACCTTCAAGCCAGTTCATGGTGGGGAGAGGGTCGGGGCAGAGGGAGGGATGGTGCTTCATGCTGAACCAGCGATATTGGGGGACGTGCAGCTGGGCAGAGGGTCTTTGGGTTCTGGATCCTGGTAGGGACCAGGGAGGGTCAGAAGCCAATGGCAAGGGCCACTGGCTCTGGCCCAGGTGCCAGGCCCCAAAGCAGGTGCAGAGAGGTGCTGGCACTCTGTCCTGCATGCCCTTGGGGCTGTCCTGGGACAAGGGGGCCACGTCCCCAATATGGCCTCCGTCCTGAGAGCGAGTGGAGAACAGCGCGTGCAGCAGCCTCCAGAGCCGGTGGCCCTGTGGATGACAACCTCTTCCACGGTTCCTATGCCTATGGCACTGCCCCGGCGTCCGAATCTACTTGCACTTTTCCCAGGAATAAGCAATGACTGGCAAGCAGCAGAGGGCAGGAACAGAGAGAGAGGGGAAGGGAGGGAGGGGGCGGAGAGCGAGCACAGTAAGAAGGAAAGGCAGGAAGAAACAAAAAGGGGGCAAAATGGGAGAGACAGGGCAGGGAAGGGAGAAGTGAAGCATGTGGACAGACAGAGCAGAGAGGTCAAAGAGTGACAGGTAATTATGCAGAGACAGGGACACATTCGAGAGTGAGAGGGGACATGGAGATGGACAGATGAGGACAGAAATGGGTCCAGAGAGTGAGGGTTACAGATAGAGACGGAAAGAAGGGAAAGCCAGGACAGGAAGAGTGGAAAGGGGCAGGTATAGGTAGGTGGGAGGAGGAAAGAAGAAAAGGTACAAGAAGGCAGAGTGAACAGGAGGAGCAGGAGGCAAGGGAGGGAAGAGAGGAGTAGAAGGAGGTGACATGAAGAAAGGGAGAGTTGTGCAAAAAGAAAAACAGAAATGGGTCTGGTTACTGCCATGGTGGGTGCTGCTGGCCTGGTCCTGTCCCCGGGGCCCCTCTGCGGCCACCCACAGGAGGCTGGACCACTCGTGGGGAGGAAGGGCACGGCTGGGGGCAGGTCGGGCCAGCTCCTCAGATGACAGTGGGCTTAGTGACTGCTGGACAGCAGAGGCCTCGCCTTGCTTCCCTAGCCACACCAGACCATAGGGCAGGCTGAGGGTAGGGGTGTAGGTGCCTCCTGCCACATGACACAGCCTCACAGCACTGAGTACAGGGCTTGGCATGCAGTAGACAGTCAATAAGTAAAGGAGGGAGAAAGGGTGGGAGGATGGATAGATGGATGGATGGATGGATGGATGGATGGATGGATGGATGGATACATGGATAGGTGGATGGACTGGCAGGTGGATGGGTAGGTGGATGGGTAGATGGGGGGGTAAGTGGGTGGATGAATGGATAGGTGAGTGGACGGCTGGCTGACTGGCTGGCTGGGTAGATGAATGGGTGGGTGGAGAGATGGGCAGGTAGGTGGATGGTGGATGGGTAGGGTAGATGGATAGAAGGCTCGGTAGCCGACTGGCTGAGTGGGGAGCATAGCAGTGGATGCAGTGTCCAGGGTGGCCACGAGGTGGTGCCAAGCAGCTGTCCATGATGCAGGCCTGTTTGCCCTGCACACCCAGCACTCCTGCTGTGGGAGGGGTAGACTCCCATAGGGCCTGGCAGACAGTCAGTAGTCACACAAGAAGGGCTCATTCAGGAGATGCCCACACAGAAGCCTGGTTCCTGGCACATGATAGTAGCCACAGTCACAAAGGCCTTGGCTGCTACAGACACACAGTAGAAGGCCACAGAGGAAATCCCCACACAGCAGCATACTTCCTGACACACAGTAGGTGTTCACTGATGTCCAGGGCTTAGCACAGATCATGTATTCACACAGCAGCCCAGATCCTGACACACAGGAGGTGCTCATACAGCAGCCTAGGCCTGGGCACATAGTTGGTGCTTATGGAGTTGAAGCTCACACAACAATCCATTTCCTAACACAGTAAGTACTCACACATCAGCCCAGGGGGAGGCACACAGTAGGTGCTCACAGGAACTCAGGGCCAGGCACACAGTAGGTGCTTACAAAATGCATATGCACACAGTAGCCCAGGTCCTGAAACAGTGGGTGCCCACAGCCTGACACACAGTAGGTGCCCCCAGAAACCCAAGGCTTGACAGTAGGTACCACACAGCAGCCAGGTTCCCAGCACACAAGAGACATTAGGTATTTATTGAGGAATGGGACACAGAGGCTGCCCCTGAGCTGACCTGAAGAGTGACATCTGACTGAATAAAGGGCCAGGAAGAGGAGGAACTGGGGAAGGGCTCTCAGTACCCAGGGTCCTGGCCAGGACACCTAACTCCGCATGGACAGTAGCAGCTAGACCAAGTCCAGAGCCCAGGGAGGGCATGTGGACAGCAGGGCAATGGAGAGAGGTGGGGCCAGATCTCAAGAGCCAAGGAGCACTGAGGGCCCCAGGGAGGGGCAGGGGAGAGTGAGGGACACTCACTATTCCAGCTGCCTTGGCTAGGTCAGGGTTGTTGGGTGTGAAGCTCCCACTGTGGCTGGTGGACACCGTGCTGGGCTTCTTGTTGCTTAGCCCCATGGCGTCCATGGACTGGCTGCGACTCCGGATGACCCGCTGTGAGGGTGAAAGTGGGGGTGGAGGAGGCATGGCAAGTCCCCACCTTGGGGCATTCCAGGAGCCCAGGCAACTGGTCCCTCCCACCAATGCTACTCTGGGTGACTCTTGGCAGACCCATCCCTTTATGAGGTCTCAGTTTCCCTATGTGCCACACAAGAAGCAGGTACACAGAATGCCTAAGGGTAGTTTGAGCCTTGCTCTGCCCCAAACTTGCTGGGTAGCCTGGTGCAAGACACTTTGCCTCCTTGAGCCTTGGAGCCACACAGGCTGCTGTATGCTGAGCCTCTGCCTCAGGTGTCTGTTGTGAGGACTACAGAAGAGCCTGAGCCATGATCATGTGTGTATACTGAGCCCTCCAAAATCTCAGTTTCTTTCTTTTTAGGGACTCCACGCTCCCTTTCCTTCTTTTCTCTCTCCGCCACCTTCCCTTTCCTTCTTTCGCTTTCTATATCTTCCTACTTCCTTGACTTTTTCACACTGATCTACATATATGGCATGCTTACTGTGGGGTGAGGTACTTCACATTCTCTCTGCCTTTCAATCCACCCTGCAAGGTAGGGGCTGTCATCATACCCATTTTACAAGAGATGAAACTGAGGCAGAAGTGAGCTTAGAGCCCAGATGCCAAATCCTAGGTCCTGAACTATGAACTCTGCTGCCTCTGAGAAATTCTTCAACCTAACCTGGGTCTCCTGTCTGGCACCTACTAGATGTGACACCATTGGAGCCCTCCTCAAAGAACACATTTCAAGTTCGATCCCTGGTACCAAAAAAAATTCACTTCAGGTCTGTGTTCACCTCTCACTACTCCCTGTCTGCAGTGGCTTCTTTTGTGCAGTTGGGCTGACGCCCTTGTATGAGCCCCCAAGCCTCCTTCACAGCTGCCCTGAGACTCAGGCGGCCCGGCTGGGCACCTGGAGGATCAGCAGTCCTCCTCCTCTGGGTGGACAAGGCAGGAGCAGAGAGGCCAGGACCTGGGGCTGCAGCCTGGCTGAGTACAGGCCCTGCCAAGGGGAAGAGGTGCCCATCTCTGCCTCTCACTTTGGATGACTGTTGCTGAAGAGAAGGAGCCAGGTTTTGCATTTTGCTTTTTAACTTACATCCCACTAATCTAACTGCTTTACAGATAGCTCAACAATCATATGAGGTGGGGCAGGGATTTAGCTCAGTGGTTCCTGCGACTGCCGTGCCAGCGCAAGGTGCCGAGTTCGATCCCCGGTACCAAAAAAAAAAAAAAGTAGGAGAACAAATATATGAGGTAAGTGGCCATTACCCCATTACCCTACTCAATAGGTAAAGGAAGGGGCTCAGAGCACGCCAAACTTGTAGGTGTTAGAGATGGGATCTGAACCCAGGAAGTCTGTGCTCTTAGCACTAAGCTAAGCCAGGGATAACCAAGGCAGCTCACACAGGCCAGGTCACTCTCCAAGGGACGCTCAGTCCTCTGGGACCTCTATTTCTTTCCCTCACTTCTCTGCCAGGTGAGCTGGCAGCCATAGCCCACGACACCAGCAGCACCTCGCTGCCACCCAGAAGACTCTAACCTTATGAATTCCCAGGTGGACTTTGCCCCAGCTTGGCCCCACCTCCATCATTAACTCCTCCCCAAACCAGAGCCCACTTTAATCTCTCGGCCTCAAACTACCATGGCAGACCACATCCCCACATCTACGCTCCCAAGGGGGATCTCACCTGTACCACAGCTCCTTAGTAAGACCCTGAGCACACCTCCCACCCTGGGCCATGCCCACTCCAGACTCCACCCAACCAGTTCACCTCTGGCCATGCCCATACCTTGTCTATTAGCCTGGCCCTAGCTCCACTAGAGCCAGTCCCTGGGCCCCTTCCTGCCCAGGAAACCGGGGGACCCTTCACCTTGAAAGACTCAAAGAAGCCGCCTCCACCACCTCCATTTTCCATCTTGTCCTCGTCACCACCCAGGCCCATCATGGACTGGCTGTGGATGTGGAGTTCCTCATACAGCGTCTCCAGAAGGGCAGCGCGAGTCCGCTCCTGCGGGCGGGCCATCAGGAGAGACCCCGGTGATCCACCCCTCATCCCTCAGCTCACATCATGGTCCCCTCCTGAGTTGAGGGCCACTTCCTCTCAGTCAGTGGGAAGTGGAAAGGGCCTAGCCCCCTGGCTTCACTCTAGCTGCTCCACAGGTCAAGCAGCCCCTAGGGCTCTTCACAAAGATCCTGCTTCCTGTCCCCAGGCCCCAGCTTCCTCCACGCACACCATCAGCCTGCCCACCTCCCAGCCCTCTGGGCTCTGTCCTCCTGCTTCCTCTCACTTGATCCAAGCCTGCTCTCCTCCAGAATTTGCACACCAACACCCCCTCACCCCAGTTAGCCCAAGGCCAAAGTCTGAACAAGCCTTTTCCCTTTAGGGTAGGAAGGAAATTCTAAACTAGAAGGGGAAGACAGCCCCAGCGGCGCATCCTCACCTCCAGCTTGGCAAACTTCTCTGCCTTGTAGCAAGCATATTCAGCATTGATCAGCTTTGTCAGCAAAAATTCCTGGAACTCAGGCCCCTGGGAACCCCCGTGCAGAGAAGATGAGAAAGGGGAGTCAGGAATAAGAAGCAAGGGCCTGAGCTGCTATGGGTCAGGACTGAAGCTCCTGAGCTATGTCCCCCTGGAGTCTGGGGAGGCCTCTCTGGGGCTCAGCTCTCAGCCCTGGCACCTGTGAGGGACTCTGTGCCCTTTATGGCTACCACCCTTCAGAAGAGCAAACCCCACAGATGTTAGGGTTGGGGTGATCTATTGCCTTGTCCTGGGGTAGCAGAACATGCTATGCAGTGTGGTTTCTAAGAGGTGACAAAGACTTGTGCCCCTCTCCCCAGACATTTTAGAGGAAAGAAGACTGTCAAAAAGACAGCAGAGGGCCAGGGATTTAGCTCAGTGGTTTCGCCGCCTGCTACACAAGTGCAAGGACCAGAGTTCGATCACCGGTACAAAAAAAAAACAAAAAAAAAACGACAGCAGAAATAAAAGGCCACTGTCTGCTATGAGAAATGCAGTTTATTATTCTGTGGCCTTCTGTTTTAAAAAGTTTTTATCAAGGGCCAGGGATTTAGCTCAGTGGTTACACTGCCTGCCTTGAAAGTGCAAGGACCTGAGTTTGATCCCCAGTACAAAAAAAGAAAAAAAAAGTTTTTATCAAAATGAAGAGAAAAGCCAGGCCACAGCTGCTTAGGGCTTCAGAACCTCATGAGACGGAATGTGTGCCTCACCCCAGACCCCTACCATTTAGTCCTGCCCTGCCAGGCCAGGGCTGGGGGCAACCTCTCACCTTTCTGAACACAGCAGGGTCGGGCAGTGGGGGCCCAAAGAAGGGCACATCATCTCTCGCAGTGACCGAGACCTGGAAAGGAGAATAGCTGTCCCTGTGGAGTCTGGGGGCTACTCATTCCCACATCAGCCAGGAAGCCCTAATTTGCCTCCTGTCCTACCATGCTGTCGGGAGGCTCTGTGACTGCTGGGTAGATAAATCCTTTTTACCAAACTTCCAGCTCCTCCACCTTTGCCCTGTATTTGAAAGGTGGGGGCCAGGTGGGGGAGACTTCAGGATCATCAGGATGGTGCAGGTAGAGGAGGTTAAAGGAGCTAGAGAAAGGACACCAGATGCAGAAGTGGAGGAGAGTAACCATCCTCTTTGAGGGGTAAACTCTGGGGAGCAAGAGGGCATGACAGGAGTTCATCCTCACCCTACTCCTCCATAGCCCCCCCACTTAAGTGGGAAGAATTAAGGCCCACAGAGGCCTGCCAGTGAGGCAGCGCCATGCCTGAGGTCCTGCTGGCCCCCAAAAGGCTCTCTGCAATCACCCACCTTGTAGAAGGGCCCATCGGGTCCGCCTCCCTCGGCCTGCACCACCACATAGGCGTGCAGGAAGTTGGATGCAATCATGTCAGGCACAAAGGGCGTGTTCTCATCCTGGAAAACCACCGCGACGATGTCATTCCCGATGTGCCTCTTCCGCTGCAACTGAGCACAGGGCCACCCAAAGGCCTTCACAGCCTGGCCGCGGTGGGGAAGGGATGTCCAGAGGGTATGGGAGGGCTTAGGGCGTGGGGCAGAGCACACATCTAAGAATTTGCAGCCCTCCCAAAAAATGTGGTAAAAACTTAGAATTATTTTAGTTTTCTTGGCAACTGTGACAGAAGGGAAAATCAAAGCCAACAAGAAGTGATTGCATACAGTGATCTTGGGTACTCAAACCGAGGTCTCCCAGTTTCTAGGCCCTACCTTTCAGCCCTTCTCCTATCAAGATTCCCCCAAACATGACCCTTCACTGAACACACAAACTCTACTCTGTACATACTCATGTTGCTAAAATGAAAGGAGATCTTATGAAAAGAAAAGAAAAAGCCACTAAAAATAAGAAACAAGGACTTCCACTTTTCTCACATTATCAGCAGGGAGAGCAGAAAGCCTTACAGGAAGCTCAGGACACGGTGCCCGGTTTTTCAGTCATTTCCTGGTGCACCTCCTAATTTGAGGCCTTTGCAGAAGCTGTTCTCTCTGCCCTCTTCTTCCAGCTCCTTTGCAGCCCAAGTCACTTTACATTGAACATTTCTTGACTCCCACGTCTGCCAAGTCTCAGTCCCCCCACGTGACCCTCTTAATACTCCTTGCTCCCCACGAAAGCACTAGCTCAGCTTTTCTGGGCTCTTGCTGTCTCCCAGATCTGATTCAGGTCACTTAGTATATGTCCCCTCCTTTATGCTCATCTACCAGGTAAGCACTACTCTCCCCATTTCACAGATGTGGAAGTGGAGGCTTCCCTGGCACTGCAGCATCCTGTCTCCCCTGCCCCACACAGGACCCACATCTGGAGGGACTGAGTCATTTCTGTGCCTGCATCCCAGGGCCTGGCACTGAGCCTGGCATGATGAACACTGGGCAGGCGGGGGGGGGGGCACAGGTGGACAGTGGGAAGTGGGTGGATGGGTGCCCAAGCTACCTGCTGGGCATCCCCTTCTGTGTAGGGCAGCTTGGTGGACACGTGAAACATGATCTCCTTGTTGCGGAAGTTGCAGTACACAGACTCGGTCCCCGTCTGCCCGTGGGTCACGTCCAGGCCTCCTCGGAACCTGCCCCCAGTCCCCCCGGGCCACAGCTCAGTCTCCAGCCCCAGCCAGGCCTCTGTGGGGCCAGGACGGGGCTCTGTCCCTCCCCGACCAAGGCCATGGGTCAGACTAGCTCTGCTCTTCCACTCTAAGACTTACCCCTTGAAGTCTTGCAGTTTGACCTTCTGGCCCAGAAATTCAAGAAACTCCACAAAGGCAGGGCTTTCCTCATTGGTACTGAAGAGCTCTTCCTCAGAGGTCTGGGGATCACACAGGGGTACGGTCACGGTCATGAGCTGCAGCTCCTGAGCAGCCCCTCTGTGCCTGCAATGGCCAAGTCCTGGGCACAGCAGCGGAAAGGAGGATGGGCTGTGCTGGGAACAGCAGAGGCTGTTGGGCCCCAGGGCTCCTGGGAAACAGTGCCCTGGCAGGCACTCTACCCTGTGAAGGTCTGAAGTGCCAGGCAGAGGGCGAGGTGGGGTGGAAGTAGGGTGGGGAGGAGCACACCTGCCCAAGCTTCTGATAAATGACTCCAAACTTGAAGTTATTGCTGATAACATGTTCATCAAAGGTGACGATGAGCCGGGAAGCCTGTGGGACAGCACAGGTTACAGGAACACTGCATTGGATGTTGCCGTTCACTGAGTTCTCCTCGTGTGCCCAGCACTGTACGGATCATTCTCGACCCTCTGAGCAAGCCCAGTGGGGATGGGGAGATACTCTGTTGTCCCCTCTGCACCTTGGATTCAGAGAGCTTCAGCAACCTGCCTCAGGTCACCCGCTTGCAAGTGTCTGCAAGGTTGGGACACAACCCAGACCTGCTGGATCCCTGAGCGGGCCCTGAGCCCCTGGCCTGCCAGGGCTGAGGCCACCCCGACTCCAGTCTAACACCCAGCTCACTATTCGGCAAACCCATTTCACAGTAGACCAGCCAAGTCCCACCAACTTACTGAGGAACCTTGAGCAGGCCTCCAGGAACCTGCCCCAGGGTCCCCAGGGCCTCAGTTTCCCCTCTGTGACCAAGAGGTGGGGCCTGACATCTGAAGGACTCTTCCTTCAGAACACCTTTTCTGGTCCCAAACACCCCTCAGGAACTTCACTCTACTCCACAATTCAGCCAGGGCCACATGGGCTTAGATGTCATTTGGGAACACCTCTCCCTTGGCTGGTTGGAGACAGAAGCCCCTGCCACTATTCCCACACTGCCTCTGTCTGGAGCCAGGAGGCAGCACCAGAGCTGGAAGTGTGGCATTTATGGAGGTGTTCATCTCATGCTTTTTTCCCAGGTCCCCTCTAAGGAGAGAAGGCAAAGCCAGTGGAAAGAGACATGACCCAGCGAAGGTCTGGAGTATAGCTGCCCTTGGGAGGATCCCCAGGCAGAGTTCAATTTCCAGACCTGATGAGGCCTGTCTGAGAGAAAGACACCCCTGGGTATAAATGCAGGCCTCCTTATCTGCTGTGCATCTGTAGAACCTCTCTGTGCTTCCTCTTCTGCAGACTGTGGATTTGGCAGGGTTATTGTGAGGATCAAATGAGAGACTAAGGGAAAGTACCCAGCATACAGCAAGAGCCCAATATGTGCTCAGCCTTCCAGTTACCCAACCGCCCTCAATGAGCAGGGCCCAGACCCAGTTATACCTTGGGGTAGAGAACAGGGTAGAATCGATCCACATTGACATCTTCACACACCAGCTGTGGGAGGAGACCATGGAGGGGATGAGGGGGGCAAGGGGAGGGGAGAGGCCTCCTGGCCTCAATGACTAAGTCCGGGGACAGCAGGAGAAAAGAGGACAGGATGTGCTGGGAACAGCAGAGGCTGTTGCTCAGAACGGGGCTCAGAGAACTGGGGTCCCCTGGGTCTGAAGTGCCATAAAGAGTGTCAAAGGACCGAGGTGGGGACAGGTGCCCAGGGCATGCACACACAGTGGGAACAAGTAGCAGGCAGGGCCACAGAGACAGGCTGTGACATACAGGGTACAGGCTTGTGGCTGTAGATGAGGATTGCTGGGGCCAAGCTGCAGCCCAGGCCACAGCCCCCTAGGGTGCCCAACACAGGAAGCTGGTAGGACCTGAAACCTCACCTTTGCCATCTGAACCACGTTGGGGAACTCAGTGAGGCAGGAGATGGGGATGACATCATGGTAGGTCCGGCACTTGGTCCTGGGAGTAGAAAGCCATACGGTGAGGGGTTGGGCAGTAGAAAGGAAAAGGGTCCTTCCACAAAAAGACCAGAGGGGGCAAAGCACAGGGAGGGCCAAAGGTGACAATGGGCACCAGGGCTGGCACAGGCAATAACTGGCTGAGTGACCTCAGGCAAATCCTGACTCCTCAGGCCTCGGTCAGGAGAGTAGATAGAATGAGGTGGACACTCAGATTTTAGACCTCAGCACTCCCTGCTGTCCTGAGGTCCCCCTGACACTACCCTCACCTGAGCAGCAGCCGCAGGTGCTCTTGATCCCCGATGACATCATACTTGAGTGAGAAGACCAGGTGGCCGAGAGCAGTGTCCAGTGAGTAGTAATTGAAATGCTCCTGTGTGGTGTGGCAGGGAGGAGGGTGAGGCTGAGCATGGGGTTTCTGGAAACCAGAAAGCCAGCTCACCCCTAGATCTTTGCCAGCAGCAAGTGTCCTGGCTAACAGCAGGCTCTGCATCAGGTAGATCCACCACTTCTCAGCAGGGCAGCTTGGGAAGGGAACCTTACCTCCCTGTGCCTCACTTTCCTAGTCTATGAAATGGGAGTGAGGACACCTACCTCGATGGTGGCAGAGACTGAAAAAGGTAAAGTGCCTGGCACCAATGCAGTGTTCAGTAAGTGTCTTGTAGTAGCCTTGGCTCTCTCCTCCTCATCAAAGTCAGGGCCACATGTATACCTGCAGAGCTGTCTCCTAGCCTCTGCCCCCTCAGATGTGACACACAGTAGGTGCTCAGTAGGAAAAGGCCATGTAACATGTGTGAGGCTCTGGGTTGAAGCCCCAGTACTTAGGAGAGAGACAGGCAGAGACAGACCGTGAGCCGACCAGATGATTGCCCAAGCTGTGGCCCCTGATGCCAAGGCTCGTGAGAAAGAGGAAGTGAAACATCTAGTAGTACACAAGGTGCTGACTAGACAGGTTCCCGCCCTCCTGCTTCACCTGGAGAAGAGGGCCCAGGGGCCAGAAGAGGCACTCTACAAGGCCTACAGTGTGGCTGTGGCAAGGACAGCACCCCTAGATGGGAGCCCAGGCCTGGCACCTCCAGCCAGGCAAGTCCCAAAGCCAAGGGCTGAAATGCAAGGAGAAGCCACTCTAGCCAGGTCCTGAGCTCCCTCTGCTGGCCCCAGTCCTGGGAGTGGAGCTGGCTCTTCACCCACGCCCATCCCAGGAATCATCCTGGAAAAAAATCCTGCTTAAACAGGAACACCTGTGCTCAGAGGCCCGCCAGAAGAAGAGGTGGGAGCCAGAGGATGTGCCCACAAATCAACAGCTCAGGGGTTCTCTGAGTGGACCTGGGGCAGAGAGTTCCTCAGACCTGCCTGGGCACATAGTGGAAGAAACCCCCAAATGCTTGGCACTGCCTACAGAGGAGTGGCAAGCATTTAGCAAGAAGTCCCAGAGCTGGAGAGTTTCCCTGAACCCTCCTCCCAAGCCCAGAGGATCCCAAAGGACACAGTGGGACATGGGCTCAGGAACCAGGATGTCAATCCCCAAAGTCACTCTCGCCTCCTCCTCCTGCCAGAACAGAGCCAATAGCCTCCCTAGGAGGCTATTGAAATGGCCCTGCTCTCTGTCAGCCACAGGGGCCCGCTCTCCTCTGTCTGCTAGGCTGACCCTGGTCATCATGTCTCCTCTGAACTCTCAACCTGTACCTCCTCAAATCCTGCCATGCTCAAGGCCTACCACCTTCATCTGTCACTGTCACTCCGTAGCAAACTTTTCTGTGTGCCAACTATGTGCTGGGCTTACATGGTTCCTGGGAGTCCACCATGTGCCAGACCCAGTGGGCCTTTGGACAATGGGTGCCTGGGACACAGGTCTCTCCTCACTGATAGGGCTCAGTGAGGAGATGGAATCTCAGGTCATGCTTGTGCTTGTCCCCAGGCAATGGCTCCTGAACCTGGACCTGCTGGGTTAGTCCTCATCACAATGTGTCCCCCAACCCCAGTGGTTAGCATTAGTACTTCCCAGGGTTAGGCCAGGCCCCAGACTGAGGTCATGGCTTCCCAGCCCCACAAGGAGCCAACCTATCCTCCCAATACACACACACACCACACACACACACACACAGCCCAATCCTCCCAGAGCATGTTTTCTTTGTTTTTGTTTTTTGAGACAGGGTCTTGCCGTGTAGTCCAAGCTGATCCTGAACTCACTGTGTAGCCCAGGCTGGCATCAAATGCCTCCTGTCTCAACCACCTGAGTACTAGGTTTACAGACATGTGCCATCACACCCAGGCCCAAAGCATTTTTTTTTTTTGGTACCGGGGATCGAACTCAGGTCCTTGCACTTGCGCAGCAGGCAGTGAAACCACTGAGCTAAATCCCCGGCCCTCCCAAAGCATGTTTTAATGGAACGTCAGCCAGAGCTGGTTCAAGTCCAGGCTCAGTAACTGTGACCTTGACTGACGCACTTCACTGCTCTGAGCTTCAGTTTCCTCTTCTGTGAAAGCAGGGTGATCTTGCTGTCACAGAGGGATTATGAGGATGGAATAACAGCTATGGCTAACTGTGTTTTTACTATGTGCCAGATGTGGTTCTACATGCTTTATGCGTACTTTGACAGCCCCCAGTTTGACAGACAAGGAAGCAGGCTCAAGGTTAAATAACCTGCCTAGGATATCAGTCACTGGAAGGAACAGCCTAGATTCACACCTAGGCCATGAGGCTCCCAAACTCATGCTATACTCCCCCATTTTGGTTGTCAATGACACAGACAGCACCTGGCATGGAATCTCCTCTCCGGCTCCCACATTAATTCTTATGAATACCCTTGGGTGATGATCCTGGGAGTTTTACTAGGCAGGGCTCCTGCCTCAGGGCTGGTGGTTACATCAATCCAGGTCAAGAAATCACATGCCTGTATCCTCCCAGCCCCCACCTCAAGCTGCCCAAAGCCTGGCCTGGGTCCATTGTGTTTGCTGCTGTGTATACTTGCTACCTAGTCAAGGGCCAGGCAAACAGCTGGAGCTCATTATTTGCTCATCCTGATAAGCAACTACCCTGATGCAGATGCTATTCCAAACATCTTCCAAGTATGGTCTCATGAGAACCCTGCAGCAACCTCAGAAAGGGTGTCATTATCTCCATTTCTTCAGAATTGGAAACTGAGGCACACTGAAGCAACTTGCCTGATATCTCATGTGGTGGGTGGCTAAGCCAGGACTCAAACTGGTAGTCTCTGCAGTTAACCACTATGGCATCCTACTGCCTTTGCAATAAATGTTTGTTGAATGAATGAGTGAATGAGCCAATCTACATGCATGATCCCCAAAGTGAGACTTGGGGTTCTGGGACTGTCCCTCAGTCCTGCCCAAGGATTCTTCTGTCTCCCAGGAGGCTGCACTGTGACCTCCCAGCCCCCGCAGCCAGCCACCCACCTTGCCAAGAAAGTGCTTCCGGTAGATGCGGGCTGTGGGGTTGCACTCAAGCTTCACCTTGGTCGTGGGCGACTGCAGTGGCTCTGTCTCAGGAATGCTGGTGATTTCATGGTTGGTGCCTTCAATCCAGTAGCCCCCAAACTGGGGCAGCAGGATGAGGGGGAAGGGGCCTTCTCGCCCTAGGACCTAAAGGGGGGCTTGCTGAAAGCCACTCCACACAGCACCCCACTAGGGACCCCAGGACATCCTCCAACTCAGACCTGGGGCGCTTCCTCCACGGCTAAGTGGTACCACAGGACAACCTGGCACCATGTTGTCCCAAAGGTTCACATTTACCTCCCTCCAGGGGGGTACCTGCTACAGCCCTTTCCCCCAGACCCAGACACACTGATCCCCTTGCCTCAGCCTCAACAGATGGTGGTGGGGGGGGCAGACGGGAGAGCTGGGGGCGTCGCCTGGCCCAGGAGGTTGACATTTGGCTCAGAAGGCCTAAGGATTCCAGCAGGCTCTGAAGTATTAGCCTGAAAACTGAGCTTCCAGCCCTCAAGGCAAAGCCTGCAGTCAGGCTTCTGGGAGGAAGGAGGACCTGGGTGTCCAGATAGCCTGCATGAGGACCTCCCTAGGACAGAGGGAAGGGTAGGCTCAGGGTCCAGCTGGGTACCTCGTGGACGCTCGGGTAAGGAATGTAGTCTTCCTCCGTCTGCAAAATACAAGCAGGCAGAGGCACAGCTCGGGTGGGGACCTCACCCTCCACACCTACTAGGCTCCCCAGCACACACTGTTCAGCTCCAGTCCTGGGGGATGGGAATAGAGATAGGACCATGGCCTCATCCCCCAATTTCTACATGAAGTGGGGGATTGCCTTGGAGTGCCCCCGACAAGGCTGGGCAGGGGCAGGCTAAACTGGCTGTGCTCTCTGGGAGTGTTCTCTGCCTGGAGAAAGGAGGCTCACTGACACCCCTCTCTGGACCAACTGCTAGTCTGCTGGGGTCCTGAATCACCAGGAATCACATACCCATCTTGGGGAGTTGTGTACACCCCTGGCCCCAGACAGGAGCTTCCAGAGCAGGAACCCATTCACTGCAAGGTCCTGGTATGAGCCTTCCCACTGAGGGCACAGGTCCCAGGGAAAATGCCTGAGGGACAAGGGCTTTGCCTTTGAGAAGAGGGACCTGGAGCAAGGGACGAGAGTATGGTGGTGCAGGCAGGGAGAAGCTGGCCTGAGGCCCAGGTATGGCGGGAGACTCTCCCTATCTGAGAGCTCCTGGGACCTGGACCTAGACACCCTGCTCATACAGGCCACAGGAAGACTTCAGAAGGGGCAGCTGTGTCACTTCCCAGACCCCACCCCCCAGCATGGAGTCTGCTCCAGCAGCCAAGCCTGGTCCACCTACTTTGAGGGGTGGTGGGAAGGAACATCGTTGTTCATCCATCCTGCTTCCCTGAAAGAGAAAGCAGCACACTGTTACACCCTCCCAGGCCTGCTGCCAGGCACGCTCCCCAGAGAGCCTTGCACCCCTGCTGTGCAGAAGGGAAAGCCCAAGGAGGGCCCGCTGATGTGGGAATGGCTGATGTAGGAATGCTCCCGGGGCAGGCCGCTGCAGGGCTCATTCCTCAGGCCTCTCTGGAGCACCGCTGTCCTGGCCCTCAGCATCGGGGAGGGGCTGGGGGCTCTGTGTGGGACGCACATGCTGCTGAGAGTGGGGGCAGGTGTGGTGTGCATGCCTGCTTGCGCAAGGCATGTGGGGAGGGGGCTACTGCGCCAATGCAGATATGCAAGAGGGGGATGGGGGCATGAAAGGTTGAGAGAGAAGGAGGAAGGGGGGAGCAAGAGCAGGGCTTGGGAGGGAGAGCTGACATCAGGGAAAGCCCCTGAGGTTTCTGCAAGACTCCCACCCCTGGTACACCCCCTGCCCACAGACACACACCCATGCAACAGACAGACAAGGGCCTGTGAGAGCAGGACTGGGGTGGGGAGAGGACCAGGGGTGAGGTGTGGGGCAAGGGTGCACCCCAGGCTGCCTGGCTCATGAATACCTCCCCCACTCTCAGCACAGCCTCTGGGTGCCTGGCATCTCTCCCTGCCTCCATTCTGCAAGGGGGTCCTGCAGAGCCTGTGATGCCTCTCACTGGGTAGGGACATGTGCGGGGATGGGAGTGAGTTGAGGAGGTGACCACAGCTCTGCTGGGACCTACACAAGGATGGGAGCGGGTGCCTGCATGGGTCTCCAGGTCAGAGAAGAGGCAGGAACTACCAGTCCCCTCCTCGACCCCAACCCAGACAGAGGACTGTAAATAGCAAGCTGCCACTCTCTTCTCCTGGCATGGTGTATTGAAGGCTCCCAGCCTGTCCTCAGAGAGGTGTGGGGCTAGGAGGATTGAGAGGGCCCCCACCTCCAGCCCAGCTAGCTCTGTGGCTCCCCAGAAAAGACTTCTTTCTCTAGCCCTCCTCACCTGCATCTTTTCAATCATCGCAAACAGATCTGTGTTCTGCAACAGAGGTGGGGAGATTGAGGTCAGTCCTGAGGTGGCCCAGCTGACCGTGCCCAGCTGGAGGGATCTGCACCCAGCCTAGATCAGCCATCAAGGTACCAGGGAGCAAGGGGAGTATAAAGGTGCAGTATGGGACTGGGTTCTGGGCAACAGAGGCCATACTTGGACCTGCTGCCAAGTAACATGAGCCCACAGCCCGGGTCCTGGGTCCCAGGCAGCCCACCCCTCCCTGAAGGGAGGAGTCTGCTGCCCTGAGGAGAGCTGGATCTCCCCAGTGCACTACTGGGTCGGCAGTGCCTGGATCAGCACACAGACCCTGAAGGTGAGCCCCTGGTCCCAACTCTAGAGATAAGCCCAGCCAGGACAAGTCAAGAATCTGTGGTTCCACCTCTCTCCCCTGGAAACCAGCCAGTTAGCCTGGCCACAGGCCTCTGCTCAGGCAACCCACCCTCCCCCAGGCAGGGGGCTATTTGGGTGAGAGGGATGCCCACTGGCCCCACACACATTCATGAGTCCACACACAGGGTCTCACACTGGAGACGGCCTGTCCTGAAGCTGGCCAGGACTCATACAGGGTTAATCCAGCATCTGCCAGCTGCCTGGCAGCATGGGCCTCTCCAGCGCCAACTCCCTACAAGCCTTCCTGGAAGGCGGCATCCCTGCTGGCTGGTGGCTGGCGGGGCTGGGGGCTGGGCCTGGGAAGCCCCCAGAGTCTCCAGGATGATGCCCCTCCCCCAGCCCTTCCAAGGCTCAATTCAGGCGGTTCCTGCTGCCCAGTGGGGGCACTGCCTGAGCTCACAGACATGTGCTAGGCGATTGTGCACTAGGAAACACACACGTGTGCGTACACAGACCCCCTCTCCTGCTGACACACAGAGGCTTGCATACTAATATTTAAACAGTCTCACTGTACCATACATACATTTTAAGTATTAAGAAACACACACACAAATCCATGGGGTTCATGCATTATGATTCTTAGAGCTACACACCAACAAATATAAATGTTGGTGTCCTGAGTTATACAACAGCACACCCACTCACCCACAAAAGACACATAAACATAAACACCCACCTACACCTGTGCAGGTCCGTACACAATGTTACACAAACACCACAAAACCACTCTCCTCTCTGAAACACACGGCCACACACTCCCATGGACAGGCAGGTGTTCAGCAAAACAAACACAGAGCCCCCCCCACACACAGCTACAAACCCCCTTTCTCTATCAGGGTCACACACACACACACACACACACACACACACACTGTGTAACAGCCACAACAAACACTCTCACAATATGACAAATTTTAAGAAAAGGCCAACATAGGAGTCGTCAATCCTCACAGGCCAATATGTCACCTTCACCTGCGTACAAACCACCACACACACATATAAACACACAGCCCTAGTGAAGGTCACGAGACACAAATGCCTCCTTATGTGCACACTCTGAGGCCTGTCCACAGAATAAGACCCACCCTGGAAGGTCCATCATGGTCACATCTGGCCACATTTAATACCTGTGAGTTTGGAAGAGACAATACCATTTGGCAGTTACAGGAGACACTGCAGACACACACCTGTAGTCCAGGGAGACAAACACACATGTCAACCTGACACAGTGTGACAGCGACACTGGCATCTGCTGGGGTGAGGGGACAGCCTCCAACTTGCTCCTCCTATGAGCCACAGTAGCAGGGACACTCCACTTAGGTGACCAAACAGCCAGAACAAAACACGATCCCTTGCTGCACCAGGAATCACAGCCACATAAACACTGACACACGGTACTGTCACCCAGAGCGTACACACAGCAACAAGTAACACCCACAATACAGCTTCACAGCCAGCAGCAGACGACCAGACACATGGCAAAAGGAGGCTGGGAGTGATGTGGCCCAGATGAGGGGATCCCCACACCTCGGGCAGCACCACCACAAAGTTACAGTGTGGCACTCAGCCGACAGGACAAGGAGGCAGAAAGTGGTCCCAATGGCGGCACACACACATGGTGCCACTGTAGCCCAGAGTCGCAGCCGCCTGTCGGTTCCGTGGACAGCTGCTGAAAGAGCCCAAGGCCCGGACCCCCGGGCGGGTGCACCCTGCGGCCGCCGCCCGGTGTCAACCCAGAGGCCAACACACCCGCCCTGGCTTGGGCGCTGCCTGCCGCGCTCGCAAAGTCGGGCTGCCCGGCTCCGGGGTCCCCTCGGCCAGGCCGCCCCGGACGGGTCCTCACCTGCCAGCTGCCCCCCGCGGGCAGCGAGCCCCTCCGCGGACGGCCGGGGAGCGATGGGGGCCGCGGCTGCGCCATCCTGAGCCCGGCCCGGCCCGGCCCCCGCCCCGGCGGCGCTTCAGCTGGCCCGGCCCG